AAAATTTTGGACAATGTAATTGAAACTTAATGAATTTTAATGCATTAAAAACACACAAATAATGAATATTTTTATGTTTCAGGATTTTCACTTTATTATTAAAATTAGTGAGTAAAAATGCTTATGTACGAAAAAGGGAATATGTAAGATATTTTTCCTAGGGTAACAAAACTAATATACTGGTAATACGATTGATAATTGATCTAAAATAAAATTTGCCATAGCCAAAAAAATTGTAATTGTGTATACGAAAAATATTCGTTGCATTATTACCCAGTTTATGGTTATTACAATACCTGAATGCTACTACTTCGTAGATGAACGAATCTCTTTTTCACGGTACTTAGAATTCATGCTGTCTTTCTAAACACAATTTTCCTTAAAATAAAATCTTTCATTGAGAACTGTATTACATCAGAACAGAAATATATTTTTTTAGAATTTAGATAAAGTTTTACTCTTATTTTTTTAGCTTGATGTGTAGTAGGTAAAGATACAATTGTTTGAAGAACAATAGATAACCTTAAATTAAAATATAGAGAGTGTAAGCATTACACTTTTTCTAGGGAAAATTTCTTAATCAGTCATGCCCGCATACAATAGTTATAATATCCTTATTGTCAAGCTTATTTGGTTTATTTAAAACTCGATTTGATTATAATTATCAAAATCATATTACAGTTCCTTGGTAAACAAATATTTCAAATTGCCCAAGCAATTGTTTTCCAATTACGCCAAAGTTTTATAAAACTATGTTTAATTTTAATTCCTGTAAGTATATAATTTTCGCACACATTGCCATCAATGATAAGCCTACCTACACATTTATTCAAATGAGATACAACACATAATCGGAAAAGGTGGAATAAGGCCAAAGCCATAAAGGTGAATAGAGACATAAGAACATACAGTGGCTTAAGTAAAGGAGGGCCGATGTCTACGATAAGGTGAAGAAGGCAATCCAAACATAAACATATATGCAGCAATGGTAGAACCGATAAATAGAGCGTCGTGATACGTGAACGTGACGATCTCTTGTGGTGGGGGGGGGGGGGGGGTTGACTGTGGGGGGAGTGGGATTTACATGTAGTGAATATGTACACAAAACTTTCAAATTTGGGTGTTAGTAACTATAGGTTACAGAAAGTTTTGGGACATCAAAATAATACATTACGTAAAATGTAGTTCGTTAAAACTATTTTACCTACGACCGTTTTTTAAAGTAGCCGTTTCGTTTCAGTACAGTTCTTAGAATTGAAAAGTATCTCATAACAGCATTGTTTACTTTCATAACAGCATAGTTTTACTCATAACAACACGGGTAACGGACCAATGAGGTTCAAGGATTGAGAGAGGAGAAGTAAAATTGTAATGATTCAAAATTCAACTAATCAGCTGTTCAGCACAATTTAATTGTTGATTGGTGCAATTAGTGTGTTCGTTGCATCACTGTCAGTGGCAATGAGAGGTTATAAACGAAAACATAACCTCTTTTAGAAATTATGAATAGTGATTTTTAGTAGTTAAAACAATGTCGTAGGTAAAGTAGTGTACGCAACTCGCGTAAATAATGTTAACGACACTCGTAGAAGTTTTTAAGGCACTCGCCAAGGCTCGTAGGTACCTTAAATTTTCTACTCGTGTCGTTAACACTATCTTTACGCAATCGTTGCGTAAACTACTATTTTGCTTTCTTACGTATATTTTCGACGCTATTACATGTTTAGGCATGATATAATCATAGACAATCAACACGAATAGACTACTCATTCAATTGTAAATTTTGAATCTCGTTCTTCGTGTCTAGTTCATGTTGGTGACACTGATCGCTAGTGTGGACGAAATTTTGTTTATGTTATTTTAGGGTTAATTTAATGATTCGTGCTTTACTGTTTGGTTATACCTCTAGGGGACGAGTTATTGTTTATGGTTATATTGTCTTATTTGGTTAAACGAGGTTTTAAATTACTGAAATAACAAGAAACAGAACAAATTGTGAACAAACCCGTTCTGTAAGGTGCACCGGACGGAATTAACAATGACATTTACTTCATTCACCTGATTTTTTTGTGATATTTGAAAAATAAATGCTGACACTATCTATTCGCCGTGGTGTTTTTATTTTATTTTTTCAAGTCTCATTGGGTTTGTTTACTAATTTTGTCATGTTTTAGGCACTTTTTCACTGGAGGACGGGATCAGATTACAGATCCCGAAACAATAAAACTGTATTTTTCATTAATCGTGACTGAAAATGTCTGAAATAATATTAAAAACAATTTAAGAGGGCGTGTTTCATCTGTGGCCAATTATTCTAAATTTAATAGGTAATTTTTATATTTTTTTAATTTCCAAATTTGTGGAACAATATAGGCTATATTCAAAAGATAAAACACAACTGTTCCATCCGTAGTTAATAAGTAATGATTCTAAATTTATTAATTTTATTTTCGTCATACTGCAGCGAAAACAGCCGTTTTTAATGCATGCGTCGCGGGTCTAAAGTAGCACAAAAATCATTTCTAGTCTCTAGGGAGTAAAAATCAGCTGTTGTAAACGGTTGTAAATTTCGATAGTGGCAATCGTATCGATCGAAATTATTTATCGATTGATTTATTAGGCAAGGTTTTAGCCTATTGTTGTCGATCACTTGACATATTGATGGCTATGTACTGTAACACAATCGTAATGGACGAAATTATTGAATCAACTAGCAGAGTACCCGTCCTTCGTACGGGGCTGGCATATAAGTAAAAAATGCTTAGTGCACTTATACTCAAGCTTTGCGTTTGCAACAGGGGAGAACACAGTTTTATAAAATTTGCTTCTTTAAATTTACAGTATACTTCTCGTATTACACATCTACCATAGCCATATTGTTCTAGAAATTTACCTAAAGAATAGAGAAAAATAAATTATCAAAAATTCGCAAAATATCACTAATTTTTAGGAAATCAAAAACATAAACATAACTGTAAACAATCCTACTATGACAGTTCTCATTGCTTATCACAGTTTTTTTTGTTTCTGCTTAGTTCAAATTAGCTGTTTTCATAAATGCCAAAAAATAGTAGTGCTGCACCCTGTTGGTAAATCTTATAACTTCGTAATGCTTTTCATATCATAGAACCAACTTTTTTAGTTGAAACAGCTGACTAAATTCTTTAATTCCCTTTAAATATGAATACTCATAAGGTTAACATGGGGAACTACAGAGCCACTGGGGCGGAGCCCGAAAGGATTTTTGGGATAAGAATATGACTATATGCTAATCGGGAATGTGAGCTATCATCATGCCAAATTTGAGCCCAATGTGTCCAGTAGTTAATGCGTGATTGAACTTCAAACAAACAAACAAACACACAAACTTTCACATTTATAATATTAGTAAGATTACTTAATAGCTGAATTGAAAACATGCTGGAAGTAGTTTTGGGGGGTTATCTTTACATACGTATTATTTCGTATTCTAGCTTTGTTTGTTAATTAATGATGCAATATGACGAAAAATATAGTTCACCACAAGGACAAAAGGTGACTTTTTAACCCTCGCTCATTTTCATTCAGGTAAAACTTGACCTCGAGTCAAAAAGAGTCACTTTAGGCCCTAGTGATGAAATATACTACTGTATTTTACCATCTCAAATTTGTGTGCAGGAATATATATATTTTTTATTAAGATAAAACAGCTGATCAGTAACGCAGGAGTCGCGTATAAGGAGGAGTTTTTGAGGCCGACACATCATTTACGTCGGGTTGTGGGCCCCGGGGGCTCGTGCAAAGAAAATTACATTCTTTAAGTCTCGGGGGGCCCAGGTGGCGTCCACACCCGCCAGGGAAATCTTTCAACCCCCCCCCCCCCACAACCACAGACCTACCAATACCGCATGTACTTTACTGTTTGTCATGGCGACTTTTCCTCTTTGTTCTGGAGTTTGATATGAAAATATATTTTAATTTTGTAGGTGGTTTGGAAGTTTTTGTATTTTTAGATATTAAAATAATTTTCTGAAGAATTATTCACTGTTTAAACTGTGATTACTGGTATCTGAAAAGAATTCAACACCTCGACATGTCTAATTAAAATACACAAAAATAAATTACGCATCAAAGGAAAAACACTTAAATGGAGGCTTTTGTAGTATATCATTGTCAATTTGTCAAAGTTACGAGAATAAAAATAAAAATAAAATGTTTGTTTAAAATGCTATAATGATTTGTAAGATTCTAAACAATTATGGAAACAAGTACATATTTTTATGTTTATCTTATATCAAATATATTTTACCTACGGACTTTTTTTAAACTAACCTTTTCGATTCAGTTCATAGAATAGATAAGATTCACTCATTACCGCATTGTTCACTTTACTCTACTGTACCATTTTTTTTACTTTACAGCACTAGTAACGGACCAATGAGGTACAAGGATTGCAAGAAAATAAGTACAATTGTAACACTTCCAATGTCAACTTATCAGCTGTTAAGACCAATTTAATTGATTAAACAATGTGGTTGGGACAATAGTAGTTGCATCACTGTCAGTGGCAATGAGGGGTTATAAACGAAAACATAACCTCTCTTAGAAGCTACGAGTAGTGATTTTTAGTAATTAAAAATGGTGTAGGTCTCTTTTTATGTAAACAACAATTATGTAAACTAGAACATATTTTTTATTTTACCAAATAAGTATTAATTTTGTTTGTAGGTTAAGCATTTTGTGACTCTTATAAATTACAGACATTTCTTTGTAGAAGTAATGTTTATTTTATTTACAATATATGTATAATGTTTATATCTGTTTATGCAAGCCATTCGCATTTTTAAACATCTTTCATTAGGGACGGCCCAAACTCTGGTCTTGTCATTATCCATCTTTTGTTCATAGAATAATTAATTGGTAGCCTAAGGACAAATAGTTAGGTTTATTTAGGCTATTTTGACCAGGTCATTAGGAAATTTGTGAGTGTTCAATAGAAAGAGGTTAATAAAATTTCCAAATTATCTAGAAAATATCTTTTATTGTATGAGAATTTTTCCTAGTAAAGCAGTTTCTCTCTTAGACCTATTTGATAAAAACATACAAAAAACATGACTACTTATAAACAGATATATCTAATTACTTACAATCTAATGATTTACAGATAACTTAAAACTATTTTGAGCAGATCAGTCTTTAGTTCAGGGAAGCCATTCTTGTTGATTTCTCTCCTGGTGTTCAATGAGTTCTTCTCTATCCTTTGAGCTTGAAACTGCTCCATAGAGTTTTTTAGCCCCTTCTGCTACTACTTCAACTCCATCTCCTATTTTTTCTCCTGCCTGTAAAACAACAACCAGAACTTAGCAAAATTTGGCTATCGGTAGTTTAATGAATTGGCATCACAAAGTATTAATTTGAAATTTAATCTTTAGGTTAAAAGTTCCAAATTATTGGTCATAAATAGTAGGATAACTAAAGCTTCAATTACAACTACTATTAATGTGAGCACAACAAGTGTCCCTAACTGATGACTTGGTGGCTGATAACTTGAGTAATTTTGGAACGATTGTTATTTAATTTGGCTTAAATATTTAGGACAGGATAAACGTGATGAATTTGTGAACCAGCAAAAAGATGGAGAGTCAACTAGGTCTTATGGGTGTTTGAAAATAATTTTTCAAAGCTTTACCTTAAAAACATATGGAAATGCCTAATTTTCAACAGCCATCGTGTAAAGCTTAAACAATTATTTTCTATCATGAAGGTATGTTTTTGTTGTATAATTAAAGATTACAGAAAAAATACAAAAAAAATCTACATTTTTAATCCTTATGGAGAAAAAGAAGACTGTTGTTGTATATGAATGTTTATGGATGTTGGTCAAATTTGGAAAATTAATTTATTTCAGCCTATACTATTAAAAAATTACCAAACAATACTTTTTCTTCCCCGGAGCGGCAAACCTAAGCACTCGTTAAACCTAATGTTGAATGTTGACTAAAATATGAAAAAGTATATATTTTTTAAATCTTATTAGTAAAATTTAAATTCGCCTGGTCTACAATTTTACTTTTTCGATGGTATTTTATTTTGTATTGTTGTGATGAATTCCCTTACCTTGCGTACAACTCCAGCAATGTTCTGAGGACTGAAAGTTTCATCATCAATGTTGATATCCACCTTCGTTTCATCTTTGTCACCAGGACATTTGCTCTGGTCGATCCTGCTCAGGTCGTAGGGGTCGATTCCAAAGGCACTAAGCTTGCCCTTGATCTAAAGCAAATGTAAGGTTTAGAATATGGCAATTAAAAATATAATGTGTGCATAAAACACTTAGTAACTGTTGTTCCACTTGATACATCAACTGTGTGAAAGTCAAGCCGCCCTGAACATATTCAGGATTGCACTTAGCCATAGCTCTCTATATCATTACCAAGAAGTGTTACGTTGTTTTTGTCACGTTTTATCACCTGAAGATCACGAATCTACAATATGTGATTATGGAAGCTTATAAAAAAATAACACTCCTCAACCTTTAACTTCAATGGCTAACCCCATGTCACCTTAAATGAATTTGTGTCTTTATTAGAATCCAGTAGTATTTTTTTTCTGGACCTTTTTGCTTACAGAATAAACTATTTTATTTTTGAAAACATTTTGTGTATGTAATAGAATACTCGTAATTATTTAAGAACTACGATATTCCATAGAGAATTAATTTAAGGTGCAGAGGAAAAAATAATGGTACACTTAAGTGGTGTCTAGCACTAGTGTCTGGTATCTAGGGCAAAGTCCATTTACCCCTCACCATCTTGTACTACAACACTCACGATGGAGGAAGACCCTGTGATAAAAGTTCCCGCACAGTGATCACCTCTTCGGCTCATCCTTGCTTGTCACAAGTATATTTCCGACACATAGAATTGGAAGCTCACGGTTGTCCCTATAAGTAAGTTTCCTCTATACCTCACTTCTCTGTGGATCTTTTTAACAGCATTCAACTCAAAACACTACTCACCTTATCGAGGTAGGCCTTGTCCAAGGTCTTCTTACGGGACAGGATAGTGGCGGACTGTCGGTTGCCGATGTTGAGAAGTTTCTGACACGTGAACACAGCTGCGTATGTTGTGTAATCGGTGTAAAATACTGTGTATGATGCAGAGCCAGCAACACCTTAAAATTATGTTGAATCAGGATATATTTTTATTCAAAAACACTAACACAGTTCAATGTATACCTCCGTTAACAACTATGAATTTAACAGCCAAGAAAAGAAAGGCTGAAATTGCTCCAAGACCACGGACAATGTAAGGAAACTGAGGAAAAAGTATTTTTGTCCCTGCGTCCTCTCATCACTTCTGCCAATATTTCAAAGTTAAATCACAATTGAGGCGACCTTTCCTAAATTTAGTTCCTAGTTTCCCTTTCCTAAGTGGGTGGTTCCTCTTTAATTGGAGTGGTTCCATCGTTGCCAAAATTCAAAGGCAGGTGTATACCAAAGAGAGAAAGAGGGAACATAATCAGTTCAAACTTTCAAGCAAAAGCTTTAAAACTATGATATTGAATGTTTTGGAAACAACTATGGTCCTTGGACTTTCCTGAACAAGAGTAGATAACCCTAAGTCCAGTTTATCACAAATCGTCAGCTGATAAATACTTACTGAGTGGGAACTTGACCACCATCTTGGCAGGCGTCTCGGGTGCAGGTACAGTCAGGTGTCCAGTGTAGTGGTACTTGTTGTCTACACTGGCCAATCCCAATATAGGATGCTCAGAGACCTGCTCCAAGTCGTACTCGTAGGGCTCCGAAGACTCGGTGAAGTTGTAGGTCAGACAACGACTGCTCGTGCTTGTTTTCTGGATCACGTACCATTTTCCGAGGAACTGTAAAGAATTTAAAGTTGTATTAGTCACCAAAGTCTATGTTAAGAGAGGACCAAACCAAAGAAAACTTTGAGGCAATTTTTTTAGAGTAAACTTCCTTTTAAAATTTCAAGTGTTGTTTTCAATTGCTTTTACACCTCGTCGTAAGTTTGTCTTTGCAGTTCTTGAATTATTTTTAATGCGAATAATTTTACTTTTATTTATTTTATAACCTCAACAGCACACGATCTTGGATGCGGCGCAGAATAAAAGCAGAGACGTTATTCTGTAGTTGCAGCAACGTATTACTTCCACTCTGCTGTGCTGTAATAGTGTAATCATTTCCAGGCCAACTGTAATTCGTAGTGGTTTAGTGGACAGCGAGCGCAAGCGTTTTTTGTGAATTCAATCACTTTCTTCATCCTTTCGATGGTTTTCACTTTCTCTATTCTAAAGATTTTTTACATATAACTTTTTTTAGGAGTGTTAAATCAATGTCTCAATTTTACAGTGGCTGGTTAAATGTTAAGATGTTAAATGTTAAGTTAAATGTTAAGAAATTCGGGTTGTTCAATTCGGTAACTAATTTAATAGTGTATTAGTCTCAGTTTTATAAAAAAAGCAAATTACTCTGTTCCTCAATTAATTGATACACACAAAAAAACAACAACATTCTACCGTATCCAAAAAAATGACTATAATTTGAGTCAATAGTAGTTAAAACTAATAGTTAGAAGCTAATAATAGTTATACATCTCTTTAGATTGGTAATAGTTAAATCGAGTATTTTATCGTACACTTACATAAGATCCTCGTGAAACCAAACCACGAAACAGCAACAATTATGTATTGCATTCGTGAAAATTAGCAATGTTTCCGACTGAAATTTTATACATCCTGGGTAAAAACAAGTTATTTTTACTTACACTCCTAAAACACCACAAACTGAACAAATATACTGCATTATAACACTTTGTTCGACCTTTCGTTACAGTTCACTAGCCTGTAACGTACCGCTGCAATGACCTTCTCTGGCATGGCTTTCTCTCCCATGCTAAACACTTGACCTACACTTTAATGACAACTTGTTGTCAAAAGACCAAGGAGAAACCTAACCTATGATTGCATCATTATGATGTTAATGATTTTGCACCGTCTCATTTGTGGTTCTAGCCTCCGGTCATGCGATTGTTGCCTTTCCTTGTTTATGTTTCGAAGAAACTTGATTTTAGAGAGATTCAGAATTCAATGGATAAATTTTATGGTGCTATATAATATTTAAATGGACTCTATTGAACTCTTTGCTGTGAAAGGTTTCCATTTACACAAGAATAAGGTACAAGTTCGGATATGTGTGACCAGAGAAGATCTCATAACTATTTTCACATCTAGGCACACATGTTGAGATATGTTTTAACAACAATCTTTCCAACAACAACATAACCCGTAAAAGTATACTAGATATTTGTTTACGTATAGTCATTTTACACAGAAAACAAATTATATATATTTCATTGCTCAATTTCCTTTCGTATTTCAATAGATTTTCTAGAAAAACTGTAAAAAATTATATGATTAATAAAAAAATATTAGAAAAGTAAAAGAATGAGAAAATTACCAACGTTTCGGATGCGCTGCAGCATCCATCTTCAGGGCAAAACTAACGTTAAGTACAATTCAACTACTGCATTGCTACCAACCCAAAACGTCGGTCACTTTGCCAATTCAATCACTCTATGATCTCTCGATGGCCAATACTCAATAATCTACTATGGCAGTAGGAGCCCACCATGAAGAGTAAGTCATATTATAGTTATAAATTTGTAAATATTTTTACCTTAGACATGTCAAAGTCTGGGACAGGTTCGACTGTAGGGCAACCTCCTAGGTGATAACTGTGACCTTGAACTAGGGCGGCCAATGCGGCCACAATACACAGTCTCGCCAACATTCTGAAAACAAATTAATTGGTAAAAACACAAGGAAAAATATAAGCGTTTATATTGTAGCTAATGGTGCCGGAAGACAATTTGATGATTTAAATCCAAAATCATAAAATCTTTGGGATTCAAGGACATGCTGCTTTCAAAAGTTCAAAGTTATTTCAGTACAGTTCTTAGAATTGAAAAGATTAACTTAACAGCATTGTTTATTTACTTGACAACATTGCTGTTTTACTTTACGAGTAAAGGACCAATGAGGTTCAAGGATTGAGAGAAAAGAAGTCAAATTGTAATAAACATCAACTTATCAGCTGTTAAGACCAATTTAATTGATTAAACAATGAGTGAGTGGTTGGGACAATGAGTTGTTGCAACACAATCAGTGGCAATGAGAGGTTATAAACGAAAATATAACCTCTCTTGGAAGTTGTGAGCAGTGATTTTCAGTATTTAAGAAAGGGTCTTGGGTAAAGTAGTGTAGGTACGCAACTTGCGTAATTAGCCTTAATGACACTCGTAGAAGTTTAAAAGGCACTCGCCAAGACTTATACCGTACCTAAAATTTTCGACCCGTATCGTTCAAACTATACTTTGTGATCGTTGCGTAAAATACTATAAATTGTGGAAAAGTAGTTAATTTATTTGGAAAATTCTATTAAGTTACACTTCAACCTCTACTACATACAAACATATTAGCTGCTGTAAAAGAATGATAAACATTAATTATACAGTTTTCGTATATTTACTTAACCAACTTGGTAATCTTCACAAGTATTTTAGATTTAAACGGTTATGTTAAAAGTTCTTTAATATCTGAACGTATACACTGTGGACTGTAATAATTATTTGTACGTGTATATTTTGGCTTTATAATCTGTGTAATTGTTCACTAATGCATTTTACCTTCAAAGCTGTCAATAAATAAAACTGGTTTGATTTAATTGATGACGCAATTAAATCGAGACGTAATCCAACAATGGAGTAAGGAAATGGTTTATTTAAACAACGTTTTTATCATTAAAAGATATCCCCGAGTAGTTGGTTTGTAAGGTCATTGTTAATGAACAAAGAAGTTCGTGAATTTGAACTTTGGATTGATAAGAGTCGAAGGTCGGAGTATCAAAAGAAGTAGATAATTTTGAATTGCAGTACAAAAGAAAATACAAATATTGTATACAATTCTTACAATTCATTTTCTGTTTAACCTGGTTTGATTATATCCTCTCAATACAAGAGAGTTTTTTTGTTATGTAAATATTGTATTTTATTTTGTTTTGTTGACGTAGCTAATGCATTTTATGTTAATTTTGCTGAATAAACGACTTATGACTTATGACTTATGACTTACAAGACTAAATCACTATTTTTAGGTTCATTAAAAAAATCACTTGCTATCGATTCTTTGTTTGATGTCCATTTGTTGCAGTGACCACATAACACCAACTAACTTATGTGATCGTTGATTTAATGGTGGTTTTATGGTGTTTGAGGGATTATTGTAATTTACATCATGACTAGCAATAAATAAAATTTCACGACGTTTCGGGATCTGGAATCTGATCACGTCTTCAGGTGAGAACGGGTGGAAAACATAAGTAGATTAGTAGTTAGTCCTGTTTACTAATCTTGTTATGTTGTAAAATGTCTTTAAAAATCACTCAAACACCACTTTAAATCATTAAGTATCTTACTGAAGGTAAATTGGACACATAGATATGAAGTTGCTATAATGCTTTATATCTTGAACCAAGTGTGTGGTTTAATTTACAATTAGTATACATTTTCAATGATAGCGGAAGTTGAAGAACAAGTACAACAAATCGTACCGTTGATATAGTTTTATCTTCACTTTATGAAGAAAAAACGTTGCTGGATTAATCTCTAACCCATCTAATGTATTGCAAATGAACTAATTATAACTTGTTTTCTTAATTTCCTGTATATATACATATTGTCAAGAAGTATACTTCATGATGTGCATTTTAAAGGAAAAATGTATAAAACAGTATAAAACATTGCTAGTTAAAAACATTTCAGCTTTAATTTAAAGAAAATCTTTCTTTCCTAGATATCTAAAAAGTTAAAAATTCATGGGATTAAATCAGGTGAAGTAATTTAAAAATTAAATCTATAGCAAAACCTGATAACCTCCTAGTTTACGAATTTTGAAATCAAGGAGTTAACAAAATTACTAAGGTGAAATAAAAATTATAGTGTTAAAGCGGAACTCTGTAAGAAGCTAAAACCACAATTGCAAAATGTATACAATATTTTAAGATGAATTAAAATCTACCTTACCTGCAATCAAAACAGATAATACTGAAGATCTGAATAGACAACACCAAAGGTCAGTCTGTCTGAGTGACCACTGCGTACCACTGCCGCCGACCACTGACTGACTGACTGGCGAGTGGCAACAGCTTCTTAGCGACACAACACTCTAGACTACGTCACGGACTGACTCATGGACCGGTTCCAAGTATATGATTGGGTGTTTCCTGTAATTCTACTCTGATGGTTAAGTAGTTAACGCGTACCCGCATCTGCGACGGCAAAAGTTGTTCGAAGAATCGGGATTTGTCTGTTTAGGGAATGGTTTTGTGGTTTGCGTGTAACGTAGTCTAGATTTGAAATTTCTTTGAATCCTCACTTCCTACAGCTCGTTATAAAATTGTTCTGATGAAGAGGAAAACTTTGAAAGATTCGTAGAAGTGACCAAAACTGCTGGTAGTCATGTTGCAAATAGACTGTATATTAAATTTGGAAATCATTTTTTAAAGTGGTTATTGTAGAAAAATAACCACTACAAACATTTTTGGGTGGTAAGAAAGCTTTTTTGGGCTTAAGGAGTTTAGGAGACAGCAAATAACTTAATTTGTTGTACCAATTGGCATTGTAAATTACGTTTACCCAATTATACTTTTTTGACCCAAGCTTTCTTTGCATAAGCATTAAGCAATGTAGACTTTTTTCCAGGGAGTTCTATTTATATATTGTCATTTTATAATGGTTATAGTGAATTGCAATTGTATCTATGACTATTTTAATGGTAGATACGACAAAAAAATAAAAATTCCAGTCAGTTATGAGGGAGGCTAAATGAAAATTAAGATATTCTACGTAATTTTTTTTGCTATGATGTTTGACTACTGGGCATTTAGGCGTAGAATGTTATTTCTATATAAAAAAACACTACATTATTGCAAGTAACAATTCACACAGATACATTTTTGTGAAATTTGCCATGATATTATGGATCTTAATGCTTAACCAACTTTGCCAAGGCCGATTTAGGTAGGAAAATTTATAGTTTTGCTTATCTTGTATTAAGAAAAAAATTGCCACATTCTAAAAGAAAACTTTGTAGTTTATTTTTTGCATTTGTGATTAGATATTTTCTCAAATGTAGAACTTATATTAATGTAAAAACTCAATCTTTCAAAGAATGTTTAAGACAGAAAGTTTCATTGTTTAAATTCATAACCTAATATCATCGACTATTGGATACAGAAGAAGACATCCCATCTATATGGATCAGCTGCTGCCAATTTTTTACTAAAACCTGATGTAGTTGTGTGAGCCAGTCACAGATTGTTCTAGTGTCTAAAACTTTATTTTATACCTTATTTTTTGTTACTGACATAGTTATTGGGTAATTACAGTTACTTATAATTAGTCATTCCATCAGTTTGATTTGGTAAAAACCTTCATGTAATCGGCAGAAATCAGTAATTTAGATGAGTGCAATCTGTGGTGGCTCACATCAACTAAGACAAATTTGATAAAAAACCTGGCGACAACTTTAACATGGCGATGGAATGTCTTGCTAAAATTCATTTTCATCATAAAACAATCTCAACTTGATGACTCTGGTCCACGTGTTTATGATGATTCATGTAGTTTATAGTCAGTTGAGTCAGAAAGTATTGTGCTTCGGTCATCAGATGTTTGGCCTGATTATTCAACTGTTTGTAGCACGTTTGACAAATACTAACGCAACACGGTTTGTTTTGTTGTGCATCCAAGGTCACTGAATAAATGCCGTAAACAGACTTTGATCAAAACAGAAAGTATTGTGTTCTAATAGTTGTGGCTATGTTGCAAACATGTTTGAGAAAGTTAACAAGAATTTGCAAATACTTTGAAGTTTGTATCAGCATTTATGCTTATGGATTGCTGAAATATCCTTTTTTGAATTTCCCTGCTAAGAAATCTGCCAAGAATGGTTTTTTATATTATAACTATCATTGGACGAAAAAAATGCATTGAAAACGTCAATATAGTAACAATAGTACAAATTATTTTCAACATATCGTCGATATAGTGAAGCATAAAAGCCAAAAGACTGGTGTGGATTACATGAAATATTTGTGGAAGTGACAGAAATATATTTGATATTTTTTTATTGTTTTAATCAGAAACATGAATAACAAATTGTTAAAATATACATCCATTAAAATGTTCAGGTTTTTGCTCACATGATCGTGACGGTATTATTGGCAGTCATCTGCAGTGCCACAACTGCATAAACATAAAATATCATATCGTTTGAATCAGATTGCGGATTCCATATTTACACTAATTTTATTGAGCCATGAAATACAAAAATGAAAATTTGTGTACACAAAAGTGTTTTCAGGAACAACTATGTTTTTTATTCACCAATACACAACAACACACAATATTATACAACAATATGAATATAGTGTGGTGAATTTAGCTATAAAGGGGATATTTGACAACTTAACATTTTGCATGAACGAAGATTCCAATGACAAAGTAACTACGCAAATCACGCGAGGTCACAGCTTTATCTTGACCTAACCCGAGGTCAACAACGGCGGGAGTCAAGTCAGCTGTTTCCGCAAAGTTAGGATAATAACCTTTTTAACGCTTGGTAACATTGTGGGGAATTTCAAGACGGAAAATGATTACGATAATTATTAGATTTGAATATTTTAACACCATTAAGTTTCTTTAGAGATGGAATAAATACCTCATAAACTCCTAACGTCCATTTTTTATATTAAAAAAATATTATTCCATGTATACCACAAGAAAGTACAGTAATTCACCTATTTGATATAGTTTCAGTAGTTGATATATACTATTTGTTTGAGGGGCATTTTGCTAAATAAAAGCTTTTTAAAAGAAACTGAAGAATGTTCAAACCCTATTCTTTATGTATATCAACCACAAAAAGGCCCTAGCCACTTGACCAGATATAATTCAGATATTTCATACCCCAATTTTATCTACATGTGACAATCATTATTTCGCTAGAGAGCTACATATTTACCAAAAACCTAAATATGAATCACATATATTATAATTTTTCTAGTAAAATTCTAGATTTTATTACGATTTCAACCAGTGCACCGATTAAGCAAGTGAGTAGCAAGTAAAATTGAGCAAGTGAAAGCAGACATGTTAATCAATCGAATTTATCTTGTTATTGATTAAGCACACGTGTTGGGTTGTTTTGTTTTAACTCAGGTCTTTGTTTAGTCTTTGTTTTGTAACTATGTCACAGCCCAATGACATAGCATCTGTGCAGATAACAGTAACAATATTGTTGTATTGTTGTATCGAGTATTGTTTGTAATTATTTTTTCTCCACAGGGATACTTGATCAGGAAGTCTTAGATCAATACTGCTATGACTTGCTGCGCTCACACTGAAACCGTTAATTTGTATCCACCTTATCAACAAGTTGACAGTTGTAGGTTGTTAAGAGTCTGCTATCAGGGGTTCTACGCTACCCTTTTAGCTCGTAGTCTGAAAAGTGCCTAGTTTCTATTTCTGGTTCCTAATCAACCCTTTCTGTGATACCAAATATCTAATGGTTTAGGATGTTAATGGTTATTATAGTGGTAAAAATCCTTTCGTCAGAAACAGCTGTTTTTGGCAAAAAGTGAAAAAGAATAAACTGCATCAGCTGACTGACATATACTTTCTCCCCATTAGCTTTACATTAGTATTTTACATCCTAATAATCTTTTGGGCAACAAAGTTTAAACGATTATACTGGTAACCCAGGGGGTAGCTTTTTTGCATGGGGGAAGTCACAAAAATTGCAATAATTTTGAACCATAACTATTACAGCGTTGGGGGCTATGTAATTTTGTCCCGCGTTAAAAGGACTATAACAAAGACAATTTAATTCAACATTCTTAGAGCCAATATTTTTAATAAGTTTCTCCGTTGTTTTATGGGGTTTTATGGGATCAATTAAAATCAACAGTTACAATAGAACATTAGTGCACAACTATTCTATGGTAATACTTCCCCAACTTAAAGTAGAAGCGATTCCAGTTTTATACTTGAATTTTAATCCACTAGGTGTATATCTTAATTTGTATGCTGAGAGGTGTTGCTGCTGTATCCATGCTCAAAATGTATTTTAAGACAATTTTTAAACTAGCCTTTTTATCAATTTAGTTCTTAGAATCGAAAAGATTCAACTTACAGTATTGTTTATTTACTTAACAGCATTATTTGTTACTTTATAGTACAAGTTTGGACCAATTAGGTTCAAGGATTGAGAGAAAAGAAGTAAAATTGTAATGCTCCGAACATCAACTTATCAGCCGTTAAGGCCAATTTAATTGATTACAAAGAGTGAGTGGTTGGGACAAGTCGTTGCATCACAATCAGTGGCAATGAGAGGTTATAAACGAAAACATAACCTCTCTTAGACGTTATGAATAGGGTTTGTTAATTAAAAAACGGTCGTAGGTAAAGTAGTGTACGAAACTCACGTTACGCGATCGTTGCGTAAACTACTAAGTTGACACTAGATCAGATACAACAATATAAAAAAAATCTTATCTTGGGGCAGAATCAAAATTATTTTTAAACATTTTACTTTTGTCATTTAAATTTTCTTTCACAAATCAACTATATCCCGTATCATATAAACACTTTTCCACCAGTCGTCCTGAAGAAACTAATACTGAAATTTTAGCCATAAATTGACTTGATAAGAAGCAAAAGCAAGTTTTGATAAACATAAAGCATGTACACCAACATTACATTATTACATTATTTTGTTATTGTTAGACAAGGAAAGAAACTTCACAAAGATGAGACAACATATCGGAAAAAAATTCCATTACTGTACTAAAACACAACTTGAAATAGGGGAAGATGATGGTTGAATGAATAAAAGTACTAGGAGTATACTCACCTTTCTAAAGGAAACAAACTAATTAGATGGATACCATTTAACCTATATCAACACAGAACTTAATCTAATAAATGGACATTTTGATGTACAACTTTCCCAATTAGTCATAAGTTAAAAGTCATAGATTGGTCTACATAGTTAGATTCGTAATGTGGTTTTAAAGGGTGTATGAAATGATTTGTACTATCTAATAAAAAAAATATTTCCATTAACTTGTATAAA